GGGGAGCGCGGGGGGGAGGTAGGGAGAGGAAGAAAAGCTGGAGCAAGGAAGCTGTTAAGGAATAGGACAGCTGAGATTTAGTAAAAATGTACTCAAGTTGTAAGTTAGCAAACCTCTTCTTTGAAATCGTATCAGATATGGAAATCAGGTTTCATTCCTAACCCACACATTGCAAGGCCAATGTGGCATATGTTTCATCATAAAAGTAATTTTATTATGGAGTTTCAGTTACAATGATGCAGTAGCTATAGTTACTCCAGAATAAGTTTGCACACTTTCTTTGGAAGCAGGTGTAGTATTAGGCTGATCTGATATTAATTACTGGCCAACTGCTAGGGTAAAAATAATTTCTAAGAAAAAAGAGTCTTATCAACTCTTACATCTAAATAAAAAACTATTAAAAGCTCTCAAGGAGAAAAAAAATGCATTAGGAGTGTAAGGTCCCACCTTTAGGGCTCATTAGCAGAGTTACTCGGCAACACCTCTGTATGTATGGACTGGGAGGTCTCAAACCGTACCCTAGCAATTCAGTTTGCCATTTCATTATAACTTCATTATTATAACTTCATTATTATTTCCATTGTTAGGATGAAAGCCTCTCCTGCTCAGAATTTTTCTTCAGGAAGAAAAATACAACAAATAGAAAAAACAGAAAAACCTCATATACAAAACACCACCTGTGGCTTCATGTCATAATTGCCTGCTGCTACATGATCCAGTAGTCAAGACCCCAACACCCGTTACAATTCTATTGGTAGCTAGGCAAGACTCAAGACTGAAAATTAAAACATTTTTCACCAAATATAAAGCGACTGCCCATGTAAAGGTACAACTACAGAAAAAACCCCACAATGTCAGTTTTTATCCCAGAGTTTCTGATCTTTACAAGAACATGGAGTATCGCAAAATCTGGAAAACTCCCTACTTTAAACAATAACCTTGTCTGACATCTTGTGCCATGCTAAAAGTATTACAGAGGGATGGCCAGCAGACAATTCCCACTGCAGACAACAAAAACCTCCTAATTTAATATTCACATATAACAAAAATTAGCTGATAGAGATTACCAAAGCCCTGATTCACAGTCTAAATCCCTTCCACTTCCCTAAGCTTAGTATTATGTTGGCTAAGCACTTCTGAAGATCTAGGGCTAGACATCAGGCAACACTATGAAGCAGGAATTAGGGGGATCTGTGACCTTTGCAGAGTCTAAGGTCCCAGTCAGCCTTCATGGCAAAGCCTAAATTTCAACTTTGGCATTTTCAAGGCACTTCTTCAAATGACAGAGATAATTATATAGGAACGGGAAAAAAAACAAATACACACACCCCCCTCATGTCCACAGCAAGGATAGGGGGGAAGAGTTTAGGAACAAATTGAGACACTATCTGATACATCCCCTGTGGGTGTGTACAGCTTGAAACAAAACTCAACAGATTTTAATTCAGTTACCTGTGGTGTGTTCACTGGGTTTCTCCCTCAAACGAATCTGCTGATCTTTGATTAAGTTTGAGCACAGACAGAAGCTATTTCCGCACTTTGTACACCTATACGGCTTCTCAGCCACATGGACTCTCTGATGCTGGAAGAGAGCTGCACCTCCACTAAACCTTTTCCTGCACGTGGTACAGGAGCAGGCTTTCTTTTTTGCATGGGTTTTGTGGTGAGCGATAAGGTTTGAGGTACGGCTAAAGGTTTTCTCACATTCCTCGCACTTATAAGGCCTCTCCCCTGTATGGATTCTCTGGTGCACCACCAGGTTGGCCTTCCTGTTAAAGCTCTTCCCACATTCTACACACTCAAACATTTTTTCTCTTGTGTGGGTTTGGAGGTGGTTCAGGAGCCGGGAGTTCCCCTTAAAGACCTTCCCGCATTCTGTACACTTGTATTGTTCCTCTTCTGTCTGTGGTTTCTGACCATCAGTGATGAGGGCATGTTTCTTGGAGCCTCTTCTTTGTTGAGGGGGTTTATTACAGGCTGCCCCCCAGTCTGGGCTGTGGGCTTCAGGTAGCTGAGGCAGTACATCCTGCTTAAGGTGTCCTGGGATGTCTCTCTCCTCGTTGTCACTCAAAGTGCAGTCCCCTGATGGAGTAAGAGAACAATCTGACACTCCTCCTTCCCTAAGACAGATAAACTGCTCCTTGTAAAATTTCCTTGTGAATTTCTCAGGTGTAGCATCAACTTGCACCAGACTCCCCTTTCCCAAAGAGGAAGTGAAATGATAAAGACTGAGACAAGACAGTAAGTTAAAGAAAAACTGGCACTGGGAAGAAGAGAGAGGTAAGAAACCTACCTCTTCTCTTCCTTCCCCTCCTTTCTCTCTTGTGTCAGTTAATGTTTACTGAAGAATTTTAAATTACTTCTTTTACAAGTTGGCACTTCGGGTTTTTCCCTAATTATCACAAGAACGTTTGTAATAGGGATACTGTATGTTTGTGCATCAGAAGTCAAAGGAGTTAGATTTTTATTGATAAAAAAAATTAACTGCCAATTAACTATTACTATCACTTTCATATCTAGACACAGCATGACACCCACATTTCTTGTGGTGACAAGCTAGAGAAACTGCATTCAAGGAAGCTCATAGGAAACATTCAAACATGGCCCCTTCTTTCATAAAGAATGTAACCTATGTATTTCACAAATGAGTATGTATGATCATGCACCCCACAGTAAGCTTTGGTTATCTTACTCTGCTGACTAAAATTTATATTTATGTAAGTTCAGCATTAATAGAATTACAAGTATCATCTGACACACACTTACCTGAGCTGCATTTTTGCAAGCATCTTTTAAGATGTTTACTATTAATTCAAACAGATGCATTGACATCTGTGATTTAGCATTAAAATATTCAGTTACTCTCACTACATATCCTTCCAATTAACACATCAGGTTTGATTATTCCACTAACCAAAAACAGACTTTCTACCTCCAAGGTAAAACTCTGCAGCATAATTTCAGTCCTACCTCTATGACACCAAGGAATAAAATTCTTAACTAACGTGCCCTCGAAGAGACAAAATACTCTCTACTTACATGGCCACAACTAAAAAGATCTAAATACCAGTGACAAAGGAAAAAAAAAATGTACTGAGGGAGGGGGGCTCATCTCTTACATCAAGGAATTACACCTGAGAGGTAGCCTTCTCCCAGAGGGCCAAAGATGACTCCCTCTCGCAGGAGCAATCATTCCCTCACTCCAAAACCAAGCAGCTGATTATTCCTAGAAGCCCATGCAGAAACCCCACACCTCTAACAGTGAAACAGGAACCACACAACCCTCCGTTCCCATACAGAGCTACTGCTGGGGACTCACACACTTCCAATATAACTGTACAACTCTCTCAGACCTTCCCCACCCATGAAAAAGCCTGAAAAAGAGAAGCATGCTGGCTTTCCTTCACTCTAAATGAACTGTACTCTTGTTTACAAAGAGCTGCTAGAAATCCACACAAGAAAAACAGAAAATACCACTGACCACCTTGCCCCAGCCTAGCATGCCATACCATCGTAGCAACCCAAGACAGAACAGCCAGCTGAGAAAAAGGAACGCAGCATCCAGCACCACTTGGTGGGGCCTCAAGCTTCCCTCCATGACTTAACTAGCAGAGTTTACATCTCACCTGTATATCCTGCAGTATCACTTTTCCCAGGTTCCTGAAGAGAGAATACGGAGGCTATTGCTGGCTCCATCTACAAAAGAAAAGGAGAGGAGACCTGGAGTGTGAAACCTTCCTTCCCTCCACAGCCGGGAGAAAGGGGGAGATGAGGGGGAGGGGCAGACACAGGTGCAGTGCCTTTTGGCAGTACCCCTAAGCTGCCTAAAAGGGGCAAACCTCCACATGCTACTGAACACCACCTTAATGGAGAGATGAGTTTGCTAGGAAGGCCTGAAGTCTGGTGACTTGCAAGCTGGAGAGCTTAATCAAGAGACCAGTGTGATAAAAAACAATGTTATCTAACCTACATCTCCCTTCTAACACCACCGAGCCCTGTCTGAGACCCTGCAT